TTGTTTTGAATGTGCCCTTGATAAATGCAATATAATGTGAGATTATTTGAGAAACATCAATCATGTTTTACGAATCTGTGATAAATACAGCTATAATTATAGATCCTGGAAAATAATTCAGCTGTCACATTTACCTTGTCAAAGTAAATAACACTGTCAATTTAGTTGACGTGCATGACCTGAGTAAACATTTCAAAGCACAAATTTTGTACTCACGCTCCTTCATTTTAAACAACTGCTCAACTGAATGTGCTTCTTTTACAATTCAGTGCATTTGCTATCACCCAAATAAAATGAAAACTGTATACCAATAATCCTTCTGAATCATTTGGAAACCGCAAAATATCTTACTAGCTATAAGCTTTATTACTGCCTTAAATCAGCAGGTTTTAAGCTTAAATAAATTATAATGGTGGTTTTCAAAAAGAGTTTTTACTATGCCTTAGCTTACTCTGAGGCTTATAAATTCATAGAGGATAAGTCCACAAATCAGTAGGTTGATCAACTAAAAACCATTCAATTAGAATGACAACCCTTTCAGTCTATTGATGGCTGTAAGTCAAAAGTCCAGAAGCACCATGCTTCTAGTCAAGAATAATATAAACAAGTGGGGAATAGTTATTGTCTTGATTCTGAGTTTTCAAAAGATATCTGGTCAGCTACTGGGAGAAGTAGGATGCAGAATTAGCTGGATCCAGGTCTCCTAAAACATCAAAGCCTCTCCAGAATAGTTCAGTTTTTAATAACCCAAAAACTAGAAGCATGGGGGCCGATCATATTTTCAGAAGAGGTTGTTCTCTAATGCAGATGCACCAATTTAAAAGTATTGATGGTTCTCCATCTTCACAAGCTGATGATGCAATTTCTCCTAGGATATATGAATCAGGTGCAAAACAATACTACAAGTGCCTCACATCAAAACCATAAATAACCTTTATAGGCTAAAACATATACTTTATTTTTATTTGGAAATTAAAGACGTCTATGCTGGACTTAGAACATACTGTATATTATGTGTAGACCAGTCAATACTTTGGCTGTTGCATTCTGAACCAATTGTTTCATGTCATCTTTAAAGGCTGTCAAATATACAGGTAATCCTTGGCTTATCACTTAACAACCATTCAGAGTAATTTTAAAAAGGTGATTTTTGACCTGTTGCTTCCCCCCATTCAACCACCCTTGTCACACGACTGCATTTTGGGCACTTAGAAAGCAGGTCGCATTTACAACTGCTTGCAGTGTCTTGTGATCACAAGACTGAGATTTGTGACATGTTCTGCTGGTTTCTAGCTCCCAAAAATTCCTATTTGGGAAAATGGATTTGGACTTACAACCACAAGATTTGTTTAACTGCACTGTAAACATAGTCATAAAAACAGGTTCAATCACATGGGTTCCTCAACTTACTGTCTTACGACTGTCATGAATTATTATTGAAATTCTGGTTCCAATTGTGGTTGCAAATGGAGATTACCTTTAAAGTATATTGTCTATTGTAGGACTCCAGATAAGTAGCATGTTTGAGAAATGTTCTGAAATAACATAATTTTGACAGTCGGAATCAGACATTAGAAAGTTGCACAGTTCTACCTCCAACTCATCTCCACTATCACTATTCACTAATGCACAATGTACAACTACCTCCAACCTTTGGCTACCTATTTTAATGTGAATTAACTTAGATAGTCCAAATTCATTCTTTTAACAGACATTTTAACCTTTTTGTTCATAATTCAATATATTCCTTCACTTCCCTTCATGTATGAATCAATTCAACCCACAGATCAGATCACTTGGATTTCATATTTTTCCCATCCTTTTCCTTTCTCTTGGTTTCACAGGTGCATGCTTTTTTTTAATTTCCTTTGATCGTTCATATGCTTTTTCACATATTCCTCTTACATTCAAAGTCACAATCTTCCATATGCATATATTGTGGTCATCACCAGATGGACTCAAGATATAGAGCTCTGCTTGCCATCATGATTTTGGTCAATTGAGACTTTCACATAAAATTATTTTAATATAATATAAAAAAGTATAAGGGTAGCTGAGTCAAATGCAGCATTCTTTGCCAATAATAAGGACAACATCAGCCAATTATGTCACATTTTGGCTGATATGAAATTAAAAAAAACCCAATGTCAAGTTTTATTCCAAGGATGTCAATTACTCTAGGCAAGGTAGGGTCTCAAATCCAGAGACTACCTAAAGTCAACTTCCAACTGCCTGCATCCCATCAATAATATACTTTAAGAAAAAAAAAAAAAAAATAATATACTTTAAGAATGCAAATCATTGTATATCATTTTACAGCAAGACAAAGATATAAATCCAAAATCCAATTTACATCAATTTATATATCAAAAAAGACTGCTCAATGGTGTACTATGAAGAACAGGTTTAAATGAAATTATTTGATCCACATCCCTCTTTAGTTGGCAGGAGTTATATGATAAAACAGAATATAAGGAGGTGCCTTAGCTATACTGGATAAAAATTATAGGCAAATTTCCTACAACCTTTGCCTATGACTTCATTGCATGGGATATTAAAGGTGATATCCCTCATTATTTGCTCATCATGCCTCTTTAGCAGCCACTATGAAATATTTAGCTCCAATATCAAAAAAGGAAATGGGCTTGACCAACCCCCTAGAAAGTTTGTTTCCTAAGAATAGGATGACCTTCACAGCTGTGAGTCTATTTGAGCAGCTGCTCAAAGCCATGTCAACTTTTGATTCATGTAAGTAATGAGGGTTATATTTTGCAGATTTGTTTACTTCAGAAAGTTTGTGATCCTTTTGCCATGTTTATTATAGGCTTTTTTATTCTCTCCTACATAGTTTATTTATACAAACTATGTTTGAGGTCTTATTTGTTATTTTTAATGTGTTTTTTAACTCAGTGATTTTTCCATTGTTTGAGGCTATGACCTATGGTTATAATAGTAAAAAATACTATCAAAAATAATATTGGAATATATTGATGAACAGCAATCATTCGCCTAAACAGTTTCTATTAATTTCAGTGATTTCAGGCAAAATTTAAATGTTACTTTGTAAACATAGTAATTCAAAGTGATATGTTTATACTGGAATTATTTACTTTCTAGTAAACAAGAAAACAGAATGTTTTCTGTTAGAATGGAACTTAGGGCTCCCTGTAAATGCAAATTATTAAAGAGTAAAAATGGTGTTACAAAATAATTGTGCTGAAAAGAATAACATTTTGTATATAAAATAATAAGAATACCCTAACGTAACTATCTTGCAATCCTAAATATGGCACATCAAAAAGGAATTTTTTAGTCACAGAATACTTGTATTACACAAACCTAAATTATATTATTCAGAAAGTTGATATATTTGCATAAGCTGTGCTCTTGAAATTAAACAGTGCTGGGGCTTAATAGAAACCTTTTATCCTCAGCAAACTGAATATAGAATCAGCTTTCATTCTATCTAGCTGCAAAAAGTAAATATGTCTTATGGATTTTATTTAAACAGTCCACAACACCAAAGTCTAAATTTCCCATTTTTTAATGTTCAATTTATTATGTTAAATAGTTAAAACTTAAATTAAAAATAAAATACGATAAAACAATTAAATCTTTACATCCCTGTAGAAACCATGACATTTGAACAGCTGTCATAACCACTAGTACTTTGCAAAAATTTTGCATGAAGCTCCCTTTCCCGAAGGATTTCATTCCCCATTTATTTCAAAATAAGCAGACACTTTATACATAGAAAAAGATACATTTCCAGAAGTAATTTATGGGGAAGCCTGCAGGTTCAGGTGCACCATTTATATGTAGGCTTTGGTTAGGAGCAACTGAATTAATATATTTTTCTTAAGATGTGATCTTTTGCAGATCCCATAAGCATTCATAACAAGACTAAAGAAATACATCATTACTGAGCTTTGGGCCAACATAAACCCATAAAATTGGATTTACCAAGCTTCTGCTCTGTATTTTAATTACAGCTATGACTGGGAAGAAGTATCTTTTAACAGGAAAAGAAACAGCCTATCTATAACAGACCAGAATGTTATGTCCTAAGGATTGCAAGATTTAGACATAGAAGGAAACATGGATGACTCACATCAGTTCCACATACCAATTGCTTGCAGGTGGCTAGTTCTAATATAAATGTTTATGTTTAACTGTCAGTTCAACGCTATTTCCTCAATGAAATTTCAGCTTCTGAAGTCCAACTGCTCCTCCAATTGCCAAAACATGAGACAGAAGAACTGCCATCTATATACGGTCAATATTTGGATTAAATTCCAGTTAGACTCTCATGTGCAGTATTTATCACATTCCATTATGATATTCTATGTAACACTGACAAAAATTATGTAAAAATGAAATTCTATGTAAATCTGCTCCACTTTATTTATTTATTTATTTGTTTGTTTGTTTGTTTGTTTCATTCAGATGCCACCCAACTCCAAATTGATTCTAAGCAGGTGAATAGGATAAAACAATATAAAATTAAAATGTACACAAAACTACAATGTATGTACTAAGCAGATGGCAAATCCAGTCAACACATAAAACAGATATCATATCACCTGGTGGAAGCTCCAGCCAGCATACCCAAAGCCGAAGAAAGAGTCTTCAAGAGCAGGGGTTTCCAACCTTGGCAACTTTAAGACTTGTGGACTTCAACTCCCAGAGTTGCTCAGCCAGCAAAGCCTGGGAGTTGCAGTCCACAAGTCTTAAAGTTGCCAAGGTTGGAGACACCTGTTCTAGAGGGCCATCCTGGTGGGAAGCATCCAGATTCCCGGGGGCAGTGGCAGACACTGTGGCAGAGAAAGTACACTTCCTTTGCCCCAAATAACACAATTTAACCAAAAAATGGGGTTCTGTTTATAAAAGATGTCTTTCCAGAAAAGGTAAAACAGATTTATTTTCCACGCAAAAATTATAAATTTCAGAAATGCTCTAATCTCAAGTAAAATATAAAGCAAATTACAAGCTTGACTCACCTTTTCCTTAATGTTGATTCACCAACTTTAACCACCCTGATTACTTCTTTAACAGTGCGCCGAAAATCATGCATTCTTGCTGCAACAAGAAGAGCTAGAACATAAAAAGAGAGTGACATCAAAAAGGCACCCGGGGTAGAGGGTAGCAAAGAAATATATTAAATTATATAGGTGGCATTGGAAATTCTATTTCTTATATTAATTTTAAAATACTGGGCTGCAGAAAGATTAAACTGGATTTTTATTTAAAAAAATACTTTGCATACAGAAATATTACATCAGTCCAAACAAATTTTGGAAAAAGCAGAATGGCATAATATTTAGCCTCAAAAATTATTTCACTACGTAGGTAGACCACCTCCTTGCACACATACACATGTATCCATGCACACACAATTAGGGGGAACTGTCCTAACATCACAATAATGCATGCATTTGCTTTTACCCACATTATTTCAAAACTTGTACATATATTCCATTTTTACCATGTTGTATTTACATAGTAAAATTATCTCAAAAAATAATAATTGCATAACATCATTCAGTGCTTTCAGCATTTCAGTTCAAGGTTCAGAGCTCCTCAACAGTGTTTTTATGCTAAAGTTGGGAGAAATTGTATGTCTTAATGTATATTTTCCACAACACAGAAAAGCTCATAAGAGCCATGGTAGTGCAGTGGTTAGAACACAGTATTGCAGGCTAACTTTGCGTTCCACTGCCAGAAGTTTGATTCTGACTGGCTCAAAGTTGACTCAGCCTTTCATCCAAGGTCCATGGGGGCCCAGATTGTTGGGGGCAATATGCTGACTCTGTAAACTGCTAAGAGAAGGCTGTAAAGCACTACTGTAGGAAGTGGTATATAAGTCTACATTCTCTTGCTATTGCTATATCCCAACAATTCTGTTCAGGAAGGTACAGGAAGAAAGCCACAATTGAAATATTAATTAGTGGCTGCCAACTAAAAAATATTTTTCTTGGGAAGAAATAAAAAAAGGAAAAGAAATGGCTAGACATCCTTTTCTCTAACTCAAATCATTAATAGTTTAATTAAATACTGTGTTCTTCACTTTAAAAATTCAGAAGCCTAAATATATTATTTATTTAACGTACAATTTTAAAGTAGTTTTATTCCCCCTGCCCTACTTTTTTTAGCAGGTTGAGTTAGTCCTTGACTTATTACCACTATTAGGACTGAAATTGCCAAATCAGCACGGTTGTATCATGTGTCTTAGGGAAGCAATCCTAGTACTCACAGATCCATGGATCATTAATCTACCTAATCTAAACCGTTCTGGACTTGGTCCTTCTCAGCCCCAAGCCTCAAAAGGGAAGGCACTAACTCAAAATCTCCCCCCATATCTGATCTTTGACCATCCTGTACCCTTATCTTACTTACTATCTCTCGTGTAATGGTCTTTACAGAGACATGGCTTGTCCCTACTATTCCAGGGGAGGCTATTGAATTACAAGGACGCTCAGTATATCGAGCAGATAGAACCATTGCCTCCGGGAAGAGCAGAGGAGGGGGGGCTTTGTGTTTACATAAATAACAACTGGAGCACAAATGTTAAAACAATGGATACTCACTGCTCTCCTGGAGTACTTTTATCTACCTCGTGAGTTTAATATTGTAATAATAACTGCAGTATATATACCTCCTGATGCTAATATGACTACAGCCATGAGTCAGCTGTTAACTGCTATTAGCAAACAGCAACAGGCCTACTCAGATGGAGTGCTGGTTGTTGCAGGCGATTTCAATCAAGCTAAATTAAAGACTGTCCTCCCTAACTTCTATCAGTACATAGACTGTCCCACCAGAGGGAAAATAACTTGGATCAGGTATATAGTAACATCATGCATGGATACAGGGCTATGCCTTTACCGCACCTGTGACAGTCAGATCATATATCTTTGTTCTTGATCCCATCATACAGACCTCTTGTCAACAGAATTAGACCATCGATTAGAGAAATACAAGTGTGGCCAGAGGGTGCATTGGAGCAACTTCAAGATTGCTTTAGGAACACTGATTGGGCATTGTTTGAGGAAGACAATATTGATACTTACACTTTAACAGTACTGTTTTATATCAAAAGCTGCATTGATGTTGTTACTACCACCAGACAAGTACGGGTGTTCTCTAACAATAAGCCCAGGATAAATAGAGAAGTGTGTCTTTTATTAAGAACTAGGAATGCTGCTTTCCACTCTGGTGATGTGCTACAGTATAGCAAGGCGAGAGCTAAATTGAAAAAGGGAATCAGGGATGCTAAAGGTACGTACAGTTGGAGGATTGAACATCTTTTTGAGAACTCAGACTCTTGTTGGGTATGGCAAGATCTGTGACAAATCACAGGGAAGAGCAATAAAAATACTTTGTCTAGAGGTAATGTCTCTTTGGCAGAACAGCTAAATCAATTTTTCAGCCGTTTTGAGGGGGAAACAGGAACAACCATCATTCCAGCATCTACCACTGATAGTATAATACTAACACCTACCATTGATAGACAACCACTTCTACTGCGGAACTCTGATGTGAGACACACTTTCCAGAATGTCAACATCCAGAAGGCAGCTGGGTCTGATGGAATCACGGGACAAGTTGTTAGGGACTGCGCTGCAGAACTAGCTGGAGTGTTCACTGATATTTTCAATCTATCCTTGTTGCAGTGCTCTATCCCTACTTGCCTGAAGACATCCATTCTAGTGCCAGTCCCTAAGCAGACAGTAGTGGTATCTCTTAATGATTATAGACCAATAGCTTTAATAGTTGTCATGAAATGTTTTGAGAGACTGATGTTGAATTATATTAAGGCTAGACTTCCATCTATTTTGGATCCATAGATCAACTGATGATGCAATGTCTATTGTTGTCCATACTGTATTAAACATTTGGAACAACAGGGAACATATGTTGCTATTTGTGGATTATAGCTCTGCTTTTAATACCATTCTACCCAACAGGTTGTCTCTTAAAATGTCCAATTTGGGTATAAATCAGAGGATTTATTTGTGGATAAAGGATTTTCT